CGCAGCAGCGAGCCGGACCCCAGGGCCAAGCCTACCAGGGCCTAGCCCGCGCTGCCCGCCAACCTGCGGGCCACAGCCAGGCCCGGCTGGGCTCCCTCTGAAGAAGCAGGGACAGGTGTTATTGGGCACCGGCATGTGCAGGAACAGCGGAAGTCCCATTAGCCCAGGGTGGGGGTAACAGGTGGGAGATGGGTGTGGAGGTGAAGACCAGGGGAATGCAAACTCAGAACAGGTATCTGGCCTCTTCCTTTGGGAGCTGAAGGTTACAAGGCCCAGGGGGAAGGACGCCCTCAAAGTCACTGCTGTGACCTGGCGCCAACTGCTCTCATTAACACAATGCTTGGCTCTGTTCTGGGATGGGGATTTAGATTGTGGCCCACCTATCTGGGCATCTTATCGTCCTCTGAAGTGGAGAGAGATTAGCTCCTTGCATAAGTACTCCAGCCTTCTGGGAGTTTCAGAGTAAATAATTTGCAAAATAAGATTAGTTTCAGAGAGAGAAGTGGAGAAACTTTGGCCCTAGAGGAAGTGGGGAGGCCAGAACGGGGGCTGGGGGGCAGTGTCCTGCACCAGCCCATTGGCCCTCCGCCGCCGCTCCTGGGCCTGCCCTGGGGTGCTGCTGTGGTGGCCCCCATATGCTGCCTTCAGCCTGTGAGGTGAATAAAAGCTCTGCAGGCAAAAGAGGCTAGGTGGCTTCCCGGAGGAAGGGTCAGCAGGCCTGATGTGGCCAGAGCCTCCAGGCAGCAGGGAGCAGGAGCTGCTGTCCCCCGATGCCCATGGCAGTGGATGCATGCAGAGCCAGCATGGGCTGGGTGGGCTCCTCAGAGGAGTGGTTTGGGGAACCTGGAAGACACTGGGTGGGGGCTCTGCCTGGCCCCTGCCTGGCCGGCTTCCCCAGTCCTCCTGGCAGGTTACCTGCTCTCCCACTGCACCTGCTTGGTCCCTGAGTTCTCCCGGGACTAGACCACACTGGATCTGCTTGTCACATGCTCCCTATTCTCCGCTGTTTGTGGTCACTGCTGGGTGCCTGCTTTCCTGGTCCTGCTTGGGCTTTGACCTTTCCAGTCCTGGAAGCTTTTCTGCCTGTGAGCTTCTGTTCTAGGGTACGACAGAAACTCAGTCTTATTCCCACAGAGTCTAGTTCTTGAGCACATGCTTGCTTTTGCTGGTGTTCCGTCTAGATGAGGAACCAGGGTGGTGGTGAGAGCTGTATCCCAGAGCTGAGTAGCCTCAGTGAGCAGACTCTTCCTCACCTAGCACGGACTGCATGCTTCCCCAGGTCCTGGGGTGGGCTGGCAGCCGGGGGAGCCATGATCAGCCTGCAGAGGCAGAGAATTGTTAGCTGAACAGTTGCTCCAGATGCTGCTTGCCCACCAAGAACTGAAGACAAGGCCCTCTCAGCTCTTGCACCCGGTGCCACACCACCCTGTTCCGGTTTCCTAGCCGCTCAGATGAGCTGTGAGCCGTGCTGTGGGGCCCACCCCCTTCTGTGCAGACTCACACTGCTGTGATGCAGTGAGTGTGTCGAAAGACGCACTGGAGTGAGGACAGAGGCAGGGCTGTCCATGGAGCGGAGAGGTGCCCTGGAGGTGCTGCCACTTGCCCTGCAGACTTCTTGGTGCCTCTCTTTCACAAGCTGCTGTATATTAGGAGGATTCCAAGGGGAATGCGTTCCACAGGTCCGCATGCCACCGCTGTGACAGTCAGGGCCAAATTCCTGTCATCCTTGGCCTGGGAGCTAGACTTCCTATTTCTTCCTTTTCTTTCTTCCTGATACTGGGGATCTGATACTGGGGATCGAACCAGGGTCTCACATGCTAGGCAAATGCTCTGCCACTGAACTATACCTCCAGGTCTTGCTTATTTGATTCTTTGTTTGGTATGGGGATCGAACTCAGATCCTTGCGCTTGCAAGGCAGTCAGTGGAACCACTGACTAACTCCCCAGCCCTTGCTTATTTGATTTTGAGACAGGATATTGCTGAACTTCCCAGGCTGGCCTTGAATTCACCATCCTCCTGCCTCACCCTCACAAGTGCTGGGATTACTGTTGTGCACCACCATTGTGCCTGGTTCAGTCTGAGTTTCTGACAGGACAGGTGAACATGTGTCACATTGGGCCAGAAAAAGGCATAGCGTGAGAGGTCAGGCGAGCACACAGAGAGCAGCAGGAGCCCAGGACCCAGCCCTGTGGCTGTGTGCACCAGGAAGGGCAGACGTCACACTTCACCCTGAAGGATGGCTGGCCGAGGGACCTGGGCTGCGGTCCGTGGAGACCCAGCGGGCGGATGGGCACTCGTGTCAGCACCTCTGCTTGAGGGGAATAAGGTGGACGCTACCCTGGCCTGTGGTGTCCAGGCCAGCGAGTCGGAGCCCTGGCTCGACCTGGCTCAGGGCCGATGCTACAGCCTGGTCCTCCGCTCGGCCAGTGTGCGCATTCCCACCTGGGGTGGCATAGACGTGGGTGCCAGGGTCAGGTGGCCCCCCTGGGCCGGCTTTCCTGTGGGTGTGGAGGAGGAGGAAGTGGAGGGCTCTTCCCCAGCCCCTCAGGCAAGTGGCTTTCTTCCTCAAGTATCTGCACAGATATTGATGGTTTACTCACTTTTTCATCTTTGTGGTGCAGGGGTCAAACCCAGGACTTAGCACAGGCTCAGAGTGCGCTCTGCCCCAGCCATGCCCGGGCCTGGCACAGAGCGAGGAGCAGCTCTAAGGAGAGGGGGTCTGGAAGCGAAGCGGGCTGGGTGTGTGACCCACTTGGCCCCACTCTGCGAGCCGCTGACGGCTGCTGTCTGGTGGCTCTTGGTCCTGACCCTCAGACAAGCTGCTCTCGGAGGACAGTAAACAGATGTAGGTACCCTGAGGCCACCCGAGGACTGCAGAATTGGTGACTGGGGGGCAAGACGGCTCAAAGCGTGGCATCAGCTTCCCCAGCTCAGGCCACTTCCCACACCCATGGGGAAAGGCGTGTCTGGGCCTGGCTCCAAGGGCCTCGAGCATCACCGCCTTTGGACCCTGGAGGACATGGTGACAGCTCTGGGCCTCACCCAGGACCTCTGTCGGGGCAGAATCAGGCCAGAGCAGACGATACCGTGGCCCGGGTTTGTCCCTCGACCGCTCCTTCTCACCACTGTGCTGCCTTCCTCACGTGGGCACACCTGTTGGGCTTTGCACAGGAACCACCACACTCTACCTTTTCTTTATCTCTTTTTTTAAGGCACTAGGGCTGAACCCAGGGGCTTCCTACTGAGCTACATCTCCAACCCTTTTTTAAAACTTTGAGACAGGGCCTTGCTAAGTCCATACTTTGCCTAGGCAGGGTTTGAACCAGTGATCCTCCTGCCTCAGCTTCCAGAGTGCCTGGATGATGGGTGTGGCATCTACAAGCCTAAGCAGCGTGCCCAAGGGCCACCTCCTCTAGCCCGGTGTCAGCTGGATGAGGTCAGGTGGACCGGGCCTGGCCAGGGCAGGGGAGCTGCAGAGGGACTGACCTCAGCCCAGGTGAGGGGTGGGTTCCTCCAGCTCCAGGGGCTCTGCTCCCTTTCAGGGACCTCAGCTCCAAGAGAACCTGACGTATCGGAGAAGGACCTGAGAGCCCTTCCTTCGCTGGGCTGAGCTCTGGTGTCCTACATGCAGCCGTCAGCCCCAGGCTCTGGCAGTTTCTGCTGGGGATTGTAAGATTCTGCTCGGGGGGCCCGGCGGGCTCCGTTATAGAGGCCTACTGGTTACTGAGCCTGTGCTGGCCTGGGGCTCTGGCCCAGCTCCCCAGGTGGGAAGGGTTTTGTCTGATGTTTCCTGTACATTCACATCCTGCTCCCAGTGTTGCACCCTTCACCGGGTGCACTTGCTTCCCACGCCTCGCCTTCCCAGCCCTTACCTGGTGGATGTCAGCAGGTGCCAGCGGCCACCGTGACGGACGTGGCATTTCCATATCACACTTTGTTGTCTCTGGAGCTGGGCTCCGTGTCTAAAGGCCACTGCACCCTGGGGTTCTCGTCCAGGAGCGCATGACTCCTCCTGGTCGCCCAGAGCTCCCAGGGCCGCCACCCTCCGGGCCAGTCACGGCCCCATGCTTGGGGTCACCGGCCAGTTGTCACATGCTGCCCTGTTCTCCTCGGCAGCTCCACCTCTCTCCCGTGAAGCTGGCGGAGCTGCATGCTGACCTGAAGATACAAGAGCGGGACGAGCTTAACTGGAAGAAGAGGAAGGTGGAGGGGCTGGACGAGGACGGGGAGAGGGAGGCCAAGCTCGCCCGCAGCCTCAATGGTGCGCCTGCGTCCATCTCTCCCGGGGAGGGCCCGCGTACCCCAGGGTGCTGGTTTCACACTGGTGCCGTGAGGCTTGGGTCCAGGACGAGGAGCGTCAGCTCTCAGCTCCTGCGCTGATGCCTGAGGGGGTTGGCAGACAGACCCAGGGGCAGGGTCCCAGGGACCTGGGTGCATGGGCAGCCCAAGGCCTGGGGCCGGATGGAGGAGGAAGCAGGTGCGCCCCCACTCTGAGATAGATGTCAGGAGTCACGCTGTGACAGTCAGAGGGACTTGGCACAGCACTGTGGTAAGCCCTGGGTATTCAGGACAGGCGGGACAGGAGCGAGGTGATGTGCAGGGGGCGGGGGCTGGACGAGTTTAAGACAGGCATGTGGGACTGGGAAGAGCCCGGCCCGGCCCCGAGCTGGGTCATGAGCGCCCCAGAGCGCCCTGTCCAGGGCGGGTTGGGCTCTCGGGCCCCTCACCGAGTGCTGGTGACAAGAGGCAGGGCTGCTCCCACCAGACCTGTGCGGTCCCAGGGAGTGAGCAGCACTGCCCAGACAGCTCGTGCCGCTCCCCCAGTCATCCTGGCCAGGTACGGGCTGGACGGGAGGAAGGACGTACAGGGGCCGCACAGCAACGTGCTGGCCGACGACACCCAGGACGACGGGCTGGGCGACCCCCGGCTGGAGAAGCTGTGGCACAAGGTACTGGGGTCCCTGCTCCCAGGACTTGTCCTGGGGCTATCGGGTGGACAGGTGGGCGAACACTGGTCCTGGTCCTGCTTTCCTGCTGGGAATATTCCTGCTGCCTGCACAAGGAACTCTGTAATAGCTGTCAGAGCTGCAGGCACGGAATATGTTTAGCGCTGGCCATGGTGGTTCATGTCTGCCTATAATCCTAGCACTCTAGGAGGCTGAGGCAGGAGAATCAGTTCAACTCCAGCCTAGGCAACTTAGCAAGACATTGTCTCAAAATATTTTTAAAAGGCGGGTGGCTGCTGGGAATGCAGGTCAGTGCAAGGCTCTGGGTTGAATCCCCAGGACACCAGGTGGCGAGGGGTGCTGTTCAGATTATGTGATTATGTGGGATACTGTGTACTTCCTGAGCCACCACCTGGTTGTGGCCAGATTCTTTACTTGTATCTGACACTTACATGGGCCCTCTGGCCAGCTTCTGTACTAGGAAAGGTGCCCTCCGTGTGTCTGTCTGTGTGTTGTTGCTGTGCCTGGGAGGGGTGTGGGGTGCGGGCTGGGCATTATGGTGTGGCTTGGTCTGCTTGTCCACAGGTTGGGGCCCGTATTAACGGAGGTCCTGGGGCATGGAGGGGAGCAGGAAGGAGAGGGTGGGGAGTGGCCTGAGGCGGCCAGGGGGGACAGGGACTGGCGGACGTCCCCTGGAGAAGTGGCCTGCTGTCCTCACCAACCATACCATAGCCAGGAGAGTCGGCGCAGCTTGGCCACACTGCCCCACTCAAGTCTGGGCACTGGCACAAGGGCAGCACAACCCCAGCTCCTCTCCAGCTTGGGGTTCATTTCCCGCACCCCTCCAATGAAGGGTCAGAGGCTTGGCGGGCAAACTGGGCCTCATGTACCACTCCAGCAGGTGGCAGGGTCCTGCCAGCCTGGGCCTGTTGGCTGTGAGCAGGTGGCAACTCCCAGGGCACTCAGCTGGCCCCTCCTTCCCAGGCGAAGACCTCGGGGAAGTTCTCCAGCGAAGAGTTGGACAAGCTGTGGCGAGAGTTCCTGCACCACAGAGACAAGGTCCACGAGTACAATGTGCTGCTGGACACGCTGAGCAGGACCGAAGGTGCACCCAGGGGGCATTCCACGTGGGCAGTGCCGGCCCTGCACGCTGCTGAAGCATCCACCCACTGGCTTGGCCTCCTCCCCACAGAGGACCCTGAAAGCATCAGAGCCCATGGAGCCTGGCTGCATCAGGCAGCTTCCCCATCTCCGGATGTAGCTCCTGGCACCCACCTAAAGGAGGAGGGTTTTATTTGGTTCATGGTCGCTGCTCTGAGGCAGGCATCACGGTGGAAGGGCATGGGGGACCAAAGGTGCTCAGTTCGTGGCAGCCAGAATCAGAACAGGGGAGCAGCGCCAGAGAGGAGCGGGTGTGGAGCCAGCTAAGGTTGCCGAGGTCAGCCTCCGTGACGACCCTGACACAGCCGTGCACTTCCGGCCTCCGCCAGTCGGTGACCCAGGCGAGCTCCACGGACAGTGGGGCCGAGGGCCTGCGTGGCTGCAGTGGCACGGTGTGCTGTGTTCAGAGGCCACGGCAGCCAGCCCTGCCTGCCTGGAGAAGAGCGATGGAGGTGCAGATGAGCTCAGTGATGCGGACAGACGCCAGTGTCAGACATCGGCACACTCGTAGCCCATGTCGAAGGCTTCTGTCCTGTCCCTCCTGGGCCCTGTCCCATCTCCTGAGGTCCAGCACACAGTCTTCAGTGTGGGTCTGCGGCGCCCTGGGCAGAGGGGCTCGCGTGGCCTCGGTCCTCACTGCCCTCCACCCCGTGTCCACAGAGGCCTACAACAACGCCATCGGCCCTGTGGACCTGAGCCACGGCAAGGGCGACGCCCTGTACAGCAAGCACAGCGAGCTCAAGGAGAAGCTGCGGGGCATCCACCAGGGCTTTGACCGCCTGCGCAAGGTCAGCCACCAGGGCTACGGCCCTGCTGCAGGTGAGCCGCGCCCCTCCCGCTGTGTGCTGGGCCTAGCACGCGCCTCCCTCCCGTGGCTCGTGGTTCTGTCCGCGTCCCTCCCATCCCTTGAGCCTCGTGTCAGCGCAGGCTCACTCTGCCGCCGTGGCTGCCCCAGCCTGGTGTGCTGCCACCCTGCCCAGCTCAGCCCTCCTCCCCACAGAGTTTGAGGAGCCTCGGGTGATCGACCTGTGGGACCAGGCCCAGACCGCCAACTTCACCAAGAAGGAGCTGGAGTCCTTCCGGGTAAGGCGCTGCCGGCCGCCCAGCCCGTCTCCAGGTGGCACAGACTCCGCCCTCTCCTCCCCAGCCACGTGGCCCAGGCAGTCATCCTTCCTGCCTTCCTGTGCCAATCTCTGACCTGGCATCCCAGTGCATGGCCAGGGCGCTGTGCACATGTGCCACCGAAGCCTGGTGCGGCCTTGGCCACTGTGCCGTGACAGGGACGCTGGGGCTGAGAACAAGAGGCCAAGGTAGCCGTGGGTTGAGGTGTCCCAGAGGAGGTGAAGAGTCCCTGTGCGCCCGGCTCCTCTGTCCACTCAGGTGCCTGAGTAGGGCTTCAACTGCAGTTCAGCTGTGAGGGTGGGGCCGAGGCAGTGCAGGGCCTGCAGCGCTGAGGAAGACGGAGGAGAGGTGCTGCTTCAGGAGGCCAGGCCTCGTACCTGCGGGGGGCACATGGTGGGTGGGCTCGGAGGTCCTGCTGATTCCAGGGTGCATGGAGCTGGCAGGGAGGGCCAGCAGGAGGCCGTGACAAGCAGTCAGCGTGGGGTGAGAAGAGCAGGCGGGGTGCATGACCCCTGGCACTGTCCAGGCCTCGGCTGCAGGGAGGCTACAGGGCTCCTCAACTGACCCGGTGTGAGCACCCCTGTGGGCCAGCCCAGAGGCAGACATCAGAGCCCTGGGGGTGGCCGGTGGGTGGCCGCCGGGAACTGGGCCCGTGTCCAGGTCACTGCTTATGCCGGAGCCCACACGCCACCGGTAGGGGTGCAATTCCCAGTCCTAGGCACAGCAGCCAGGGCGGGTCGGTGTGCGTAGGAAAGGGGCAGCCTGGGACAAGTGTCCTGCGAGCTGTTAGGTTCTGGGGTGTGGGCCTGGGCTTGGGCCTCGAGGAGGTGTGTTGAGGAACCAAGCCACTGAACATCCTTCCAGGAGGAGCTCAAGCACTTCGAAGCCAAGATGGAGAAGCACAGCCACTACCAGAAGCAGCTGGAGATCTCACACCAGAAGCTGAAGCACGTGGAGCGCATCGGTGACCAGGAGCACGTCAGCCGCAACAGGGAGAAGTACGCCCTGCTGGAGGAGAAGACCAAGGAGCTGGGCTACAAGGTGGGCGCGGGGCAGAAGCCTGGAGGGACGAGGCTGCGGCCAGAGCCGCAGGGCTCTGCCTTCTGAGTGTAGAGCACAGGAGCTCCTGGGAAAGCGCAGGCTGGGCCTGGGGCGGGCAGAGCGGTCTGCACGCAAGGATGGAGGAGAGGAGCAGCCAGGCTGGGGCACTGCGCTCCACGGCCACCTGTGACAGCGGGTGTGAGCTCCGAGCCGGCCACCCCACCCCGGGAAGGGTGCCCCAGCAGCTGAGAAGCTCCGGTGGTCAGGGCATCGTCATCGTGAGAACCCCAGAGGCTCAGAGCGGCTAGCACTGCGGTGGCCCCTGCAAGGACGTCACCCGGGTCCTTGTGCCCCTGGTGTTGGGTCAGACACCCGCGGCCATGAGGCCGCGCCTCTGCACACAGTGGCAGCCAGTCCCCAGGTCCTGTCCGCGCCTGGAGGCAGCGGCACGGCAGATGGCCAGAGGACGTGGCGTCCCTTTGCAGAATGCCTGCTCCCCAGGGTTGGCTCTTGTGTCCTTGGCGGTGTCTGAGGGCGCTGAGCTGAGCAGTGCCAGGGACAGTTCCCAGAGAGGCTGTGGCTGTGACAGCAGGGGAGAGACCTGCGCCTTTTGTGACTTGTGGCGCTGCGTGTGCTGGGCCATCTCTGGCTGACAGGCCTCCCTGACACCCGCAGGTGAAGAAGCATTTACAGGACCTGTCCAGCAGGGTCTCCAGGACAAGGCACAATGAGCTCTGAGGCCGGCGGTGGAGACCGCGCAGAGAGCCCAAGGCACCGCTGCTGTCGCCTGTGTAGACAGACTGTGGTGACAGCGACAGGCTGGGCACAGCACCACGGCCAGGGGGACCCCTCCATGTCATGTGCCCACCCGCACCTCTCAGACCTGTGACCTGGTCCCGCCTGAGGCTGACGGCTTCCTGTAACCACCCCATGAAGACCCTGAGGTCCAGCTGCCCTCCGCCCTCCTCTGGCACTTGGCATCATGGGCCTGCAGTGTTGCCCCAGATGTGTCACAGAGCTCTAAACACACTACACGCTGTGCCTCTCTCTCGTCTGATCTCTCAGTTGGGGACACATCTCCCAGAGCCAGCTCCAAGGCCCCGTGCCCTCTCCTGCTGACAGGCGGCCCTGTGTCCCCAGGGCTCTGCAGTCCCCCTTCCCGGTGGCACGGTCTGCCCCACTTTAAACCCAGGAGCCCATTGGAGCTCGGTCTTGGGACCAAGGTGGCAGAGCAGCAACCTGCAGGGTACTTCCTCCCCTCTGCCAGTCCATGGTGCAGGGAGACTGCTGAGCCCCAAGGGAGAGGGGCCTGCAGGACGTTCCTCTATACCACAGCTGACCGCTGGCCTCAGGCAGGTCAGGGTCGGAACACAGCTGTTCTGTTGAGCATGGAAGCCGCCTGACCAGGCATGCTGGGTTCACTAGCAGCTGAGATGTGCCTGGCCCAGCTCCCAGGTGTCCCTGAGCAGAAACGCGGGGCTCGCAGCAGCGTGCTGGAGGCTTGCCAGTCGGGCTGGAGGTGGCAGGTGCGGCATGGACGGGGTGGGGTGGCTTCCTCTCCTGCATGGTGTCTGCCACACCCCAGTCTGCGAGGGTGTTCCCAGGCAGGGCTGGCCAGCAGGCCCCAAGACTTCAGCAGCATCCGGGGCCCAGAGAACTATGGGGCTGCAGGGCTCTAGGCTGTACTCTGGGTGCAAGGCTGGGTTGGGGCTGGGCCCAGGGCAGAGGCTCTGTTGAGCATCTGCCGAGCGGACCACAGAAGGAGCCCCTGGCCTTCAGCATGGCCGTGAGAATCGGGCAGCTGCACCGAGGAGCCCAGAGCAGGGGCCACACTATGTTCTTTGCAGCTTCCGAGGGCCCACATTGTAGTGAGTTGTGCACTCAAAATGGCACAGACATGCACACGGCCCAGAGTTACCCAAGGTGAGCGCCATGGAGCCATTGTAGGGGCGGCCGGCGTTGTAGCCACCTTCCACCGGAGCTTACCGCTGCCTTGACTGACGTGGATCCAGTGTGAGCATCACAGTGAGGGCTGGGTGTGTGTGTGTGGTGTCTGGCTGTCCCCACCATTGCTGAGAGTCTACCATGTTGCTGAGCAGAACTGTTCCATTTCATTGCTATGTAGCTTTCCACTGCATGAATGTACAGGACCATACTTTGCAGTCTGTTGTTGATGGATATTTGAGTTGTTTCCACTTTAGAAGTAACTACTAACACCCAAGGTAGTAGTATGCTTTGAGTGCTGTAACAAAATACCTGACATCCACAACTTGAAGGAGGCAGGGATTTTGTCTGACAGTTTCAGTGGGTTCCGTCCGTGGTCAGCAGCCTCTGAGGTAGGAACACCCTGGGGAAAGAGCACAGCAGAGGAAAACTGCTCAGCTCGTGGTGGTCAAGAAGCAGAGAGGAGGGGAAGAAACCCTTCCAGACCACGTCAGCGACCCCCTCCAGCCGGGCCCCACTTCCCACGGCACATCAGCCACGACCTCGTCCAAAATGAGTCCACGGACCAGCACAGCTCCCGTGGTGCAGTCACCTCCCAGGACACGAGCCTTTGGGGGCATCTTCAACCCCGGCTGTCACAGCCTTAGAAGTAACTGGGCTGGGCTGCACATTTTCTGGCAGCTGGGTGTGGTCCTGCCGAGTGCTGGTGTGCGTGTGTGTGGGAGACGGGTGCACACGTTCCCGGGGTGGTGGTGCCCGTTCACGGGGCAGCAACAGGGTGCGGAGAGCAGGCTGGTTGGTTGCCAGGATTGGTGCCTAGGCTGGTACTTGGAGTTCTGCTGCCTTCTCACCAAGTCCTGACTGCACCATGTCTGTCAGACGCCCCGTGGCCGGGCCTGGGCCCGTTTGTCCCAAGTGCCTGGCAGTGTCCTGCCCAGTGGCTCTATAGTGAGGTTGGGAATCACGCCCTGTACACTTTCCTGCACGTGGACCCTGTCGACTCTTCATAGCCTGTGTGTCTCCATGCACACGTTTGGATCCGCTTTTCAATATTCCTGCCAAATGAGGCTGCGGGGCTTTTGGTGGATCCCCTTGGATGCTGTATGCGCCTGTGTGCCTGCGCGCACCTGTGTGTGTATGTGTGTGTGTATGTGTGTGTGTGTGTGTCTGTGCGCACCTGTGTGTATATGTGTGTGTGTGTGCACCTGTGTGCGTGCCTGTGCACAGTTGTGGGGCTGAGCTCTGAGCACAGGGCCTTACACTAAACAGCTGGGAGCAAAAGTGAAGACTCCTAGAGGGTACAAAGTAACTGGAAAGTAGGAAAGTAACTGGCTAGTGCCACAGAAGAGCTGCCTGCCACGGTGGTGCCTGCCTGTAACCCGGGCTGCTACTGAGGCTGAGAGGATCAGAAGTTCAAGGCCAGCCTGGGCAACCTTGTAAGAGCCTATCTCAAGAAAAGAGATTTTGAAAGGTTGTGGATGCATCTTAGTGGCCGGGCACCCTGGGTTTGATCCTCTAATGAAAAGAAGTTTAAAGATGGAAGGGCAACAGTCTGAAGGGTAGGATTCCAGAGAGACCACAGAAGATGGGAAGTGGAGAAATCGTCCACTAAGCCCAGAAACCTTTGTGCTTGAAGAGCGAGTTTCCGGGTTGCCTGGCCGAGAACACTGAAGAGCGGCTGTGATAACCGAAACTCCGGAGCAGAGGGTCCGGGAGTGGGGGACCGACCATCAGTCACGGCAGTACCAGCTGCAGAGCAGCCATGGCTGAGTGTTGGGGGGAAATCAGCTGCACCCCAGATTCTGCACCTCCCAGGCCAGCGCTGACGTGGGAAGGAATGTGGGCCAGACCCTGGAGCATGTCAGCTCTCAAATGCCGCCCCTTCCATTGCTGCTGGAGAAAGCACTCCTTAAAACAGAAACAAGAAAGGACAGCGGGCCGGGGGTTTAGCTCAGCGGTTCAGTGGCCTGCCTTGCAAGCGCAAGGACCCGAGTTCAATCCCTGGTACCAAAAAAAAAAGGACAGGACCCAATCCAAGAGAGACACCGAGGGTCCCCACACCTGCAGAGGGCTGGAGAAGGCTTGGCAGTCCAGTGGACAGCAGGCTAGCTGTGACGGGTGTGCGGGGAGGACAGCCATGCGCTAAAGAAGGTTACCTGCATGTCAACGGTGGGTGGGCAGAAAACTTTCCAGGGAAAACCAAAGTGGAGCAGCAAAGGAAAAGTAACAGAAAAGTGTGAGCAAATTATATAGTGGATGTTGACATTTTAAAAATCTTAGAGTGCCATGAATCCCCTCAGAATCCTCCCCTTCGCTTGGAACACACCGGTCCCATCATTCTTGCTTTTCTGCAGCCGCTCTGGAATCCTCTTTCACTGGTGTCTAGTTGTACTGTCCCGGTTGCCTCAGTGTCCTGAATCAATCCAGAATGTTTTCTTTTCCTGGTCAGTCTGACTTTGGAGAGGACCCGGAAGCCACACGGCCCCAGGGCTGGTGAGCGAGGCAGACACAGCGCCCCGCTTCACGAGCTGCCTTTCGTTTGGAGGGCACAGGGCAGTGGCGTTTGCTGTGTTCATCACACCTGGTAAAGACGCAGGAGAGAGGACTCCCCGAGAGTGGTGAGAACGTGGGCTAAGCATGTTCCAAGCGGGGAGGATTGTGAGAGGGACTCACGGCAGCCTGTCTTCCACTATAATTATTTCTCCGATATTCTCTGGACTTTCTGACCACCCCAAACACGACCTTGCTCGCTCGTCAGTGGTGTCTGCAGAGTCCATGGAGCTCAGCCTGAGAACCAAGCCAGCGGCGATGCTGGGCGTGCCAGGGTGTGGGGTCACCAGGGGAGGTCTGTAAAACAGAACCCAGGCCACAAGTCTCAAAACAGTTGGCAGTGACAGTGGGGCCAGGGTCAAGGGGGCACTGACTTTCGTGACAAACCTTGTAGGTGTGTCTGACTCTAAACCTTTTTTTTTTTTTTTTTGGAGACAGGGTCTCACTATGTAGCCCAGGCTAGCCTTGAATTTGCGTCAATCCTCCTACCTCAGCCTCTCAAGGGCTAGGATTACAGGTGTGCTCCACCATGCCTGGCTGTCATGATTATCAATGTTAAGAGCCAGTATTTAATCCTGATTTTTAAGTTTTCCATAAGAAAATATTTAACTTTTCCTACCTTTATAGGATAAAACTTACATAGACACATCAAATAATATATTACAGAAAACAACAAAGAAAGCTTTCAGTAATCTTAGATAATCTTATCTATGTTTCCATCTGTAAATTGAAAAGATTAGTGTTTTTCTACCTTCTGGGATGTCAATGTACTCAATCAATATAGTAGGTTGTGATTAGTATATTTTTT